TAGGTCTAATCATCTGTAAAAATGCCTGCTTACAAAAAAATGGAACGGGGAAAAAATAAGACCCAATTAAAAAAAGAAGAGCGCTTGAAAGAACAAAGCCCAGGAACTAATTCTCACTGACAGTCTCGTCTTTCATCTTAAGCCGCGCCTTGAACTCTACCTTGTTTAATTATTAAGTCAGGAGCGGCTCAGCAAGATCTGTCTAGTTCTGATGATTCTTAAATTCAACCCCGCTGACAGACCCTGTCCATTCTTCTCTATATTCTACTGTTGCCTAATGACAAGGTCTGAATGCTAATTTTTAAATTCAACTTTCATTAAAAATAGAAAGCAGTTTCTCTAAGAGTAACCTCTTGGTCCCAAAGTATGACTTTAGTTTACACTACAAATTTATAAAAATTAAAAATTCCAATGTGAAAGCTATTACTCTCTAATGTTATCTAACTAATGAAAAATAACAGTGCAGTAAACATTGTAGGCAATTAATATGTTTCATAAACTTCAACCCTACCATTACTTAATATATTCATGTTTATGAAAATTTAGGAGGCTGAGATGACAAAAATGTATTTCAGATATAAATCTGGCTTTTGCTCACAGCCTTGAATGTCATCCTTGTGCTGATTCCCCAGAAAACAGACCCCTGATCTTGCTGAGGAGAGCTGGTCCATGTCGGGCGTCCCCGCCCCACCAGGGAGCAGCCCGGCAGCGGCAGTGCTCGCCCTCCGCAGACCCCAGGCCCAGCCGCCTGTCCCCCGAACCGCGCCCATGGCCCTGGGTCCCCAGCGCCCCTGAGTCCGTTCTCGGAGCCCACAGTTTGTTCTCTGCACAGAGCAAGACAGACACATTAAGAGTAACATTCACATGGAACCACTCTTGATGTGCTCAATCCACTACAAATGCAATGCAAGATGCCAAAAATTCACGGAATTGTATGCTTTAAAACAGATGAATCTTACAATATACTAATTATAATCATATACCAATAAAGCTGTTTGGTTTTTTTTTAAAGGATCGATCACGAGGTTTTCCCTGATCTGTGCCCTGACGAATTCTCCTTCCACCTTGCTCTCTGCTCACAGGGCCCCGTCCCTGCTGCCGTCGGCTGGGGTGTCCCAGCTTTGGGATTTCTGCACTGGCTGTTCCTTCTGCCTGAACTTCTGGAGATGGTGGAGCACCACGAGGAGGTGAATGCGTGGGAAAGTGTGGCCCTAAGTCGGTGCCCAAGTGAAGACACAGGCAGCTTCAAAAATCAGCAAATATCTTTGATTTTTATGTGTTAAGTGTCACTCCAGTGTTGCCAAATGTGAGTATTTGGGGTATTATTTGATCCCTTTGTGTTTTTCATTTTTCTTTAATTCCGAGAAATCAATTTACATTATTTCTTCAAAAAGATCTATCCTTCTTACTCCGTGGTTTCATTCCATGTATCTGTCTCCTTGCACTTTCTTCCGAGCCTCTGCTCCTAGGATAGTTTCCATTCTGATCTTGGTGGTGGTGGCTGTGTTTTAGTTGCTAAGTTGTGTCCGATTCCTGCGACCATATGGACTAGGAACCTACCAGGCTCCTCTGTCCATGGAACTCTCCAGGCAAGAATACTGGAGTGGGTTGCCATTTCCTTCTCCAGGGGATCTTCCCGACCCAAACTGAATCCAGGTCTCCTGCATTGCGGCAGATTCTTTACCGACTGAGCTACAGGGAAGCCCATTCTGATCTTGCTGCTGCTGCTGCTAAGTCGCTTCAGTCGTGTCCGACTCTGTGCGACCCCACAGACGGCAGCCCACCAGGCTCCCCCGTCCCTGGGATTCTCCAGGCAAGAACACCGGGGTGGGTTGCCATTTCCTTCTCCAATGCATGAGAGTGAAAAGTAAAGTGAAGTCGCTCAGTCGTGTCCGACTCGTAGCGACCCCATGGACTGCAGCCCACCAGGCTCCTCCAACCATGGGATTTTCCAGGCAAGAGCACTGGAGTGGGGTGCCATTTCTTTCTCCAATTCTGATCTTACTTATTTAATTTTTTAGTAGACTTCCTTCTGCTGTATTTATTGTATTGTTTCTAACTGTATCTATTACACTTCTTATTTTAATTCTTATTTTTCATATCCAGCATTATCATTGGGAAATATTCTAAAATGGACAGACGTGACAACAAGGCTAGAGGGACTCCCTGGTGAACCAGCAGTCAGGACTCTGCCTCCCAGAGTGGGGGGCCCGAGTCTGACGCCTGGTCAGGGAAATAGACCCTACATGCTGCAACTAAGGATTCTGCAATCTGAAGGTTTGGCACAGCCAAATCATATAAAATTTTAGAAGTTTTGTTATGGGACATTTCAAACATACACCAAAGGAGGAGGAATCGTATAATAAACCCACTATATTCTTCACCCCAACTCCACATCTAGCTGATTCTTAAACTGTCTAGCACTCTACCTGCTGAAGTCCCAAATGCACCCCCTCCTCCAGAGGTGACAGTAGGACAGGCCCTGGGCCCTGGAAGATCTACATGGAACTGTTTGCTGCTTAGGTTCCTTCCAGGCCGACTCAGGGTTCTGCTTTCTTGACCCGGCTGGCTCGGTGTCAGCCCACCCCTCGCCTGGCCCAACCCCAGACCGTCACCGCTCTCCCCTCCATCCCACTGGTCAACGGCTGCGTCTCTGTGGGAGGGAACGGAGGCACACGTTGCGCTCAGCCTGCTGTCTTCAAGCAAATGCCCACTAACTTCCTGAACTGAGTACCTCCTTGTGTATACAGGTCTCCTGATTATTGTTCCTGAATGTCACAACTATCTGTTGAGCACTTCCTACATCACGTAACTCAGGGATCCTGACATATCTAACATTCCCAGCAACGCACATTGCACTGCGCTGCTGCTGCGACCCCGCCGACGGATGAGGACACTGAGCGCCGCAAGGGCTGGCCACTAAGGACCTGGGACTGGAGCCCGAGACCTGCAGCCCCGCTCCGCATCACTGTGGGTGCTGCGTCCCCCTTCTTCCACCCTCTGAAGTGGGCCCTGCAGCTAGTCTGGGGTCTCCAGGACACGCCTAGGTAACAGACTCTGGCTCAGACTCCACAGCTTTAAATCCAAGGAGGCACTCTGGAAAAGCCAGAAGACTGAGGGGGCTCAGCGGCCAGGGGACCGTGCTCATGCTGAGGATTCAGGGTCTACACGCCACGAGGTCAGATCACATGTCAGGAACAAGGAGGACGAGGTGCACTGCCTCAGACGTGAGGCCCCGGGTCCAGGCACCCTCAGCCCACCTCTCCAGGCTTCCGTAATTCAGGAAGGCAGCTGAGACTCTCAAGGCTGAAGACCCACCTCTGCAAGCAGAGACTCAGCAAAGGGCTCTGGGGGCCCTCCATCCTTGCTAGGAGGACGCACCTGCTCTCCTGCTGTGTACGCTGGTGGCCCCCCCCGAATCCTCAGGACGGGACTCTGGGCTTACCCACAGGGCATCTGTGTCTGCTCCCTCAGTCAAGACAGAGCGACTAAGAAAGACCACCTTCCACCAGCCACACGACTCCACCTCCCGATCTGACTGTCTTCCCACAGGCATTACGGCCACACTGCTCCACCTACTGACGTTACTGTCTTCCCACGGCATTACAGCCACATTACTCCACCTCCCAATCTGACCATCCTCCCATGGGATTACAGCCACACTGCTTCACCTGCTGATCTGACTGTCTTCCCATGGGCATTACAGACACACTGCTCCACCTCCTGATCTGACCGTCTTCCCATGGGCATTACAGCCACATTGCTCCACCTCCTGATCTGTCTGTCTTCCCATGGGCATTATAGCCACACTGCTCCACCTGCTGATCTGACTGTCTTCCCACTGCATTACAGCCACATTACTCCACCTCCCAATCTGACCATCTTCCCATGGGATTACAGCCACACTGCTCCAACTCCCGATCTGACTGTCTTCCCACAGGCATTACAGCCACACTGCTCCACCTACTGACGTTACTGTCTTCCCACGGCATTACAGCCACATTACTCCACCTCCCAATCTGACTGTCTTCCCATGGGATTACAGCCACACTGCTCCACCTCGAGATCTGACCGTCTTCCCACAGGCATTACAGCCACACTGCTCCACCTCCCGATCTGACCATCTTCCCATGGGATTACAGCCACACTGCTTCACCTGCTGATCTGACTGTCTTCCCACGGGCATTACAGCCACACTGTTCCACCTCCTGATCTGACCGTCTTCCCACGGGCATTACAGCCACACTGTTCCACCTGCTGATCTGACTGTCTTCCCACGGGCATTACAGCCACACTGTTCCACCTGCTGATCTGACTGTCTTCCCACTGCATTACAGCCACATTACTCCACCTCCCAATCTGACCGTCTTCCCACGGGCATTACAGCCACAGTGCTCCACCTCCTGATCTGACTGTCTTCACACGGGCATTACACATTCCCAGAAAAACAATCACATCTTCAGTCAAAAAGACTGAAACAAATAAATAAAACAGAAAGGAAAAAAGTATCTTCCCACGGGCATTACAGCCACACTGCTCCACCTCCTGATCTGACTGTCTTCACATGGGCATTACAGCCACACTGCTCCACCTCCTGATCTGACTGTCTTCACACGGGCATTACACATTCCCAGAAAAACAATCACGTCTTCAGTCAAAAAGACTGAAACAAATAAATAAAACAGAAAGGAAAAAAGTAAAGAAGTTATCTCTAGGCTGAAAGTCAGTGGAAAAAGAGAAGGAGAAAGGTTTATAAAGCTTTGGTGGGGTAGAAAAAAAATAAAAAAGAAGTGACAACAAACGATCCCCAGGGAAATCCCATGGCCACTGGAAGAGGCCGCACACTGCCACATGTAAGCCTGTGCTGGGAAGGAAGGCAAGTGGTTTTAACTCCACAACACACTTGCCTTGCACTGCATGCTCTGGAAGCGGGGAGGCATGAGGACAGGGAGGTGAAGAGGACAGCTCATAAAGCGACAAGACAAGGAAAGAAGACGTACTGTGGACTGCATCTGCGCCACGTATTCACCCTCCATTTTGTTCAGCCGCACGTTTGTGTCCTCGAGCAATTCTTGAATATTTTCCGTGTGTTGCTTCTGAAGTTCAAACTTTTCCTTTTCCATTTCTGCTACAGCGTTGTGGAGCTACAGAGGAGAAGAACTGACTCTTTCAATACTGTTACAGAATGGACTATTTTGTAATTCAGAAAAAAACCTTCCCTATATTTCTCTATTTATTTATATGGTGACCTGAACAACAAAAGATATAAAATATTCCTGAAAAGAGCATGATTAAGAAAAAATGTTTTGTTTATTTTCCTGAATTGAAAGTTTTATTGGATAAACAAATATTAAAGGGGATGATCCACCTCAGGAAGAAATAGTAAATAAATCAGATAACACAATGCATCAGGTAAACAGCACCAGAATCAGCCTCATATCAGAAAACAAAGGTATTTATAATACTGCTATCAATTAAGATTGCTATCTCACAGAATTTTCATCTTATTTGCATGAAACCTTGCACAAGAGTAATGTTCAAAATGCTTTATCCTTCAACCTGACTCCCAACAAGAAACTATTTTTATCCACTCCATAAACTATACTAAGTGGACACAAAGGTGGCATGTGTCAACCAAAGCCAGCTCTCGGGAGAGCTGCACGCTCCATGTCTTTGTGCACACTGGCCGTCTGAACGAGGACTGTGCACATATGCTGAAGTCGGTGAGATGCTGAAATAGAGATGCAACTAAGGTAAGGAAACCAATTTTCAATGGGCAGCCTCTAAGGAAGTGTAAAACCCAGGTGACAAGCCTTGTGGGCATTTGTCCACCTGTCTTCACAGGCGGGGAATTCGGAGTCTAGTGCCTGCTGTCCACCCGTCCTCACGGGCGGGAAATTCGGAGTCTAGTGCCTGTTGGTCACCCGTCTTCACGGGCAGGGAATTTGGAGTCTAGTGCCTGCTGGTCACCCGTCCTCACGGGCGGGGAATTCGGAGTCTAGTGCCTGCTGGTCACCCGTCTTCACGGGCGGGGAATTCGGAGTCTAGTGCCTGCTGTCACCCGTCTTCACGGGCGGGGAATTCGGAGTCTAGTGCCTGCTGTCCACCCGTCCTCACGGGCGGGAAATTCGGAGTCTAGTGCCTGTTGGTCACCCGTCTTCACGGGCGGGGAATTCGGAGTCTAGTTCCTGCTCTCCACCCGTCCTCACGGGCGGGGAATTCGGAGTCTAGTGCCTGCTGTCCACCCGTCTTCTCGGGCGGGGAATTCGGAGTCTAGTGCCTGCTGTCCACCCGTCTTCTCGGGCGGGGAATTCGGAGTCTAGTGCCTGCTGCCCACCCGTCCTCATGGGCAGGGAATTTGGAATCTAGTTCCTATCCTCTGCACCCAGCCCAGGCTCACAGATCTGAAGCCTGATGGAGCTCAGAATAGTTATCCCAGTGTCTGGCGTTTATATATACATTTAATCAAGCCAAAGTGAGTTATAATTTATATAGTACGGATACTGCAGAGTGTTGTCCAATTACTGTCGGCCTGGTTTTGAGAAGACGGGCGTCTTGAGCGAAGTGTTAAATGATGAAATCTGTACTTGCAGCAGCCAGAAACAGACATGCCAACTTCACAGAAAAGGTAAAAGGACACAAAGGAACACGAACCTAGAAGAGCGCTCCGTCTGCCCTCCGGACAGGGGCCTCCTCACACGGCCCTGGAGGCGCGGCCCCAGGACACAGCCACCCGGCGTTGGCTCCAAACACCCGCAGGGCCCAGGAGAATGCCCAAACTCAACCCACTGGGAGAGGGTCAGCTGGAGGAGTTCACCGCAGACCTTCACAGCTGACTTACTCAAAAGAAGTAACGTGTTTCATTTCTTGTGAGTACATATTGTAACTTCAACCAATAGCGAAGAGCTCCTAAATGAAAGTACTATGTGCCTGCACGCGTGCTCAGTCCTGTCCGACTCTCTGTGACCCCGTGGACTGTAGTACTATGTGCCTGCACGCGTGCTCAGTCCTGTCTGACTCTCTGTGACCCCGTGGACTGTAGTACTATGTGCCTGCACGCGTGCTCAGTCCTGTCCGACTCTCTGTGACCCCGTGGACGGTAGCCCGCCAGGCTCCTCTGTCCACGGGATTCTCCAGGCAAGAACACTGGAGTGGGGTGCCATTCCCTCCTCCAGGGGATCTTCCCAACCCAGGGACTGAACCCACATCTCCTGCATTGCAGGCAGATTCTTCATCGCTGAGCCACAGGGAAGCCTGAAAGTAGTTACTATGTGTGACTAGGTAAGACTTTTATGACACATTATAAGTATTTTTTACATTACTCTTGGCTCTGCTAAATTTAATGAAAATGTTTTTCTTAATTAAATGTTCCTCTAAGAATAATCCATCTACAACTGATTTTGCTTACACCAAAAACAAGTTTATACTACAACTATTGTGTCATCTGAGATTTCAGAAAAGAAATGATCCAAGGGCCTACATTCAAAATTTGAACAATTTAACTCCCCCAAATTACCCTGCTATTATATCCCTATGAATTCTGCTTAAAGTCTATTAGCTCTGACAAAATTCAAAGCCTTAATTAAATCCAAGAATTGTTAAAAGTAACTTTTCTAAATGAAAACTAGTTTATAAACCATTAAACTTCCAGAAAAAAGTATACCAAAAACACAACAGCTATTTCTAGATAGTCTAGAACACTATTACTTTTATTTTTTCAAGCTCTTCTTTATATTTTGTGAATACCCATTATTTTATAATTAAGTAGGCTACGTTAACGTATAACCCTTTATATTTTTCCATCACTATTTTATTTTCTGTAGCTTACCTTTTTTTCCCAATCATTATTCAGAGATTCTGTGCTCTGCTCACATATCTTTTTTAACTCTGCGATCTGGTTGTCTTTGGTCTCTCTGATAACCTGGCATTCTCGGACAAGGGTCTGAACTGTCAAAAATGAAGAAAACATAATTAAACCAATTCTAGCTGCCACATAAGAGTCCAGTGATAAAAAGCAAAGTGCACCAGTTAACAGATCATCCCATCTTCCTCCCAGTCTTCTCTGCTCTCCCCTAAAATATCTCTCCCTCCCTCCTCTTTTCCACGTCCACCTCCGCAGCCCGGTGAAGCCCTCGCGGCTCACCCCCAGACCACAGCACAGTGTGCTGGGCTCCCTAACTCTCCTGCAGGGTGTCTGCCACCGCTCGCACAGAGGCCCTTTCCCCGTGCCGATGCGGCACCGCTACCCTCAGACCTTAACTCCCAGTTCCCCTCCCACAAGACAGAGACCCAAAGCCTCTGACACAGGAAACGGCTCCTCAGATCTGACTACTTTCTGGCCGTATCTTCAGCCACATCTGTGTGTTTAACCTCGTAAACACACCAACCTATCTGCAGACCCACCTCTTTTCATCCTCTTGCCCAGATGCGCCCACCTGTCCACCTGGACTGCCCCGCTCCCCTGCCGAAATACCACGTGCCCAAATCAGTCTCAGTTCAAATCACGCCTCCTTCTGGAACCAACCAGTCTCCTCCTCTTGCAGGAGCAGAAAGACACTCCTCTCTATGCCCAGGGGACCTCCTAGATTTCTGCATTAAGTCCCTTATTACACTGCACGCTATAATAGTTTATTTCCTTCTTCACTGAGGAGAAAGATATTTCAACTTTTTAACTACAGAGCAAAAGACTGGCAGTCAGGCAAGTACCCCAAACGCTGTGTGCTAAGCCCACAGATAAAGAAACCCACCACTCCAGTCTGCCACTGCTCCTGGGTGCATTAAAGTTACTGGGACTGAAGCAAAACATGCTCTAAATCACATAAAACATTTCCCTTATAAAGCATTCAAATTTCTATCTTCTTTTTAAAACTGATTTAAACTGTCATTGATTCGAGTGAAAACTGTTCAATATATTCATGTCATCCGGATGCAAAATAAATTCAGTTGTGTATTTCTTTGAAAGTGGTATTTTATTAGCCTCCTTAATATGTTCTTATTCACTTACTGCAAGATACGAAAATTTTCGTAAACATTTACATAGATATTTCTTTCACTTTTATATCTCAATGATGCAGCAAATAAGTGAGAAGGAGACGAGTCCAAGTTAACCTGATATTGCTGTTCAGTCAATAAGACGTGTCCGACTCTTCGACCCCATGGACTGCAGCAGGCCAGGCTTCCCTGTCCTTCATTTTCTCCCGGAGTTTGCTCAAACTCGTGTCCACTGAGTCAATGATGCCATCCAACCATCTCATCCTCCACTGCATTCTCCTTCTGCCCTCAATCTTTTCCAGCCTCAGGGTCTTTCCCAGTGAGTCTGCTCTTCACATCAGGTGGCCAAATTATTGGAGCTTCAACATCAGTCCTTCCAATGAATTCCAATAAAAAAAATTTTTTTTTAAGTGTAAGTCACCCAGTCATGTCCGACTCTTTGTGACCCCATGGAGTATCACCCTCCAGGCACCTCTCCAAGCAAGAATACTGGAGTGGCTTGCCATTCCCTTCTCCAGGGGATCTTCCCAACCCAGGGATTGAACCCAGGTCTCCTGCATTGCAGGCAGATTGTTTACTGTCTACGCCACCAAGATTCAGGGTCGATTTCCTTTAGGACTGTTTGATCTCCTTACAGTCCAGAAGACTCTTCTCCAGCACTACAGTTCAAAAGCATCAATTCTTTGGCCTGCAGCCTTCTTTATGGTTCAACTCTCACATCTGTACATGACTACTGGAAAAACCACAGCCTTGACTATATGGACCTTTGTCGGCAAAATGATGTCTCTGCTTTTCAATACACTGTCTAGGTTTATCATAGCTTTCTTTCCAAGGAGCAAGTGTCTTAATTTTGTGGCTGCAGTTACCATCTGCACTGATTTTGGAGAGCCCCCCGCCAAAATAAAATCTGTCACTATTTCCACCTTTTCCCCTTCTATTTGCCATGGAGTGATGGGACCAGATCTTATAGTTTTTTGAATGTTAAGTTTTAAGCCAGCTTTCTCACTCTCCTCTTTCACCCTCATCAATAGACTCTTTAGTTCCTCCTTGCTTTCTGCCATCAGGGTGGTATCATCTGAATATCTGAGGTTGTTGACATTTCTCCCAGCAATCTTGATTCCAGCTTGTGAGTCATCAAGCCCAGCATTTCGCATGATGTACTCTGCATACAAGTTAAATAAACAGGGTGACAATATATACCCTTGTCATACTCCTTTCCCAATTTTGAACCAATCTGTTGTTCCCTGTCTGGTTCTAACTGTTGCTTCTTGACCACCATACAGGTTTCTCAGGAGACAGGAAAGGTGGTCTGGCACTCCCATCCCTTTAAGAGTTTTCCACAGTTTGTTGTGATCTGCACGAAGGCTTTAGCACAGTCAATGAATGAAGCAGAAGTAGATGTTCTTCTGGAATTTCCTTGCTTTCTCTATGACCCAATGGATGTTGGCAATTTGATCTCTGATTCCTCTGCCTTTTTTCAACCCAGCTTGTACATCTGGAAGTTCTCGGTTTATGGACTACTGAAGCCTAGCTTGAAGGATTTTGAACACAGCCTTGCTAGCGCATGAAATCAGTGCAATTGTATGGCAGTTTGAACATTCTTTGACTGTTTAAAGTGCCTGGTTTGAATCAGAATAAAAACAAAAGCCTAGAAACAGATTTTAAATGTGTGAAGCCACTGATGTTTGGAGCGGTTCCATGACAGACTCTCCACTTTCTTCTTAGTCTTCACTGACATCGGATCGTTCACAAATCCCGCAGAGTTTCTCTTTCAGGTTTGCTCTCGCCACTCCCACTGCTATTACTGAGATATTCTGGGTCCTCATCATCTTACACATGACATTATGGAGGCGTAGCGTCCCTGAGTTGAAAGGATTTTATATACATCTCCAATCGCACTGCTTTATGAGTAAGAGGCTTGCCGATGGGCCACAGCAGATGCTGAAGAGCAGGTTTCCTAAGAAGGAAGATGCTCACTCCCTCTCTCCCCCTCGCCATCCCCCTCTCTCCTCCTCCCTCTCTCAGCAGCTACAGGATAAACTTGAAATTTCTAAATCCGAAATTCAAGGTCATGCTCATATGACGCCAAGTCACCTACCTTAGTCATTGTCAGTTTCTCTCTTAACATGAGGCTCTCCACTCTAGATGGATGGTTTTGCATCATCCTTCCCATAGTTTATGAACATCAGCATTCCCACCCCAGTACCTGGAACTCTCCTCTGCAACTAACTAAATCTTACAAAACTTTTAAAGTTCCTTCCCCCTCCCCAAATATTTCCAACACTTTCCCTAAGACTGTCCACTACATTTCAATGTTTCGACCTATAGTCATAATCAATTTAACACTTGATTACCTGTTTTCTTTTCCTTTGTAATGAAAGTATAAATGAGGAATACTTTTAAATGTTCTGTCCATCACAACATAGAATATACTATAAAGCATAAAGTAGACATTTAATGGAATGAATTTTTATTAGACCAAGACGAGTAATTTCTCTCGACTCTGTTGTGAAAGCCTGTATGTTCTATTCTAACACTGACCTATGGCCATTCCAGTCCAATGAAGAGGGAGAGGATTAAGAGAGTAACATTCACACTCTCCTAAACCTTTAACCAAACCACCCACCACTGCTACCACACACACACACACACACACACAGGTTTCTCTTAAGAAATACAGAAGTTCACATCAGCGCACCAACAAAGGAAACCCATACCCACACAAACTTTCCTATCCCATACTACAGTCAGAAATGAACCTGTACTTTATAGAAGCACTGAAGTAAAGCAGAAACGCTTTAATGGGTTTATGTAACAAGGACAACATCACCTTTCTTCTCAAGTTTTCTAATAGTCTCCTCGGTTTCACTTTGTTTCTTTTTGTATAAAGTTTTCATTTCTTCTATTTCATTATTCTTTCTTTCTAAAATCTGCAAACAAATTTAAAATATTTTAGTACATTATATTATTTTATGTATGGAACACATAATTTTTTTTAAAAGAGCACAATATTCTTTTAAGTCTATCTCAGTTAATCCTGTCAGTGGCTTCCCAAAAAAAAGATGTAAAAATTATATTTTAGTGCATTGACAAAACATTGAATACACTATAACAATTGATTACCAAAAGAAATATGCTGTTTCAAATTTTCATGTACCAATCCTTAAAGAGATTGTAACTACTCAATTAGCTGGTTCTCTAAGATGTAACAGATGACGCTGTCACCAAGTAGCAGAGAGAAGCATCAGAAAGCTGACATGCTGACACAGTGCCATCCCCTCCCAGCCCTGAGACAGGGGCCCTGCAGACACGCGCAACCCGAGGCCCTTCTGGCACTTCCACACACACTACCGAGCACGCCCAGACACACGGGAACGTGGGTGGAACAGACGTCTTTTATATTTAGTTCTGCTCTTGGGAATCAAATAAGTCAGCTCAAAGTATGTCCAAAATTGTATGAATATTCTACATCACTAATTTATACTCTCAGAAGTTTTTAAATGGATCATTAAATACTTTTAAATACATCTAATACTTTACAAAAATTAGAGAAAAACAAAGTATAGGAAAGTGAGGAAGCAGGGTAAAGAGATGTCTAACCAAGGGGAAAAAGGAAAACCAAACTGAGGCGGAAGTATGACTACCTACCCACTTTTCTTACGGCTGAGGTATATTCCTATACACGCAAATTCAATTTTTGAAAACAGGTTATCACCATGTCTAACCAAGTTTTTCTTGTATTACCAGCATCTTACTTTACCTTTTATTATTTTGGTCCCACCTCTAAGAACAACTGATAAATAAGTAAAGGAGCCAGTTTGATCTCCATGTCCATAAAGAAGCAGAACCGGAAAAGAATGTGTGTAAAGAGATAAACACTTTCAATTTTATTCCTTCCCAATTCGTAACACATAGAAAACGCCATACATGCAACAAACTGATGAATGTACTTTCCAAATCTGGCATGAGGTCAAAGATTTTATTTATATTTTACCTGACATTTCAAACCAGTTGCACTGCTTTCTTTTTTCATGCAGAATTTATTTTAAAAGAGAAACTCCTGGAAAGGATTCTACTATTAAATGTTTTTCTTAGAATAGCGCTTTGCAACGGACATACCAAAAAGCCTATTTCAAACTCTATTACCATGATTTTTCCAATTATATTTCTATATTTATTTATATTACACATCAATATTTTATACATCAATAGGTTCTATTTTCAATTTAGACATGTATTATGCTCTATTGAAATTATATTACTGAACCTCTTAACATATTTATGATAGAGAACTGCTTTTATCTAACCATTTATACTTAGGTAAAATTCTAGTAAGAACATAAAGTAATATTTGCCTTTAAAGTCTGAATGGAAAAGAGGAAAGTCAAGGAAAAGGATTCAATAGTTTTTCTCTAATTTTCAATCAGTGGTTTCCCTCCTGTTGCTTTGCAAGAAGGTGAGCCCAGTATATGCCTGACCAAACACCACTAGATTTTCAGCTTTAAGGAAGTGGGGCAGGGTGGTGGGGGAGACAAAGGCAGGTGACGCGATGCCCTGGCCCCCACTCCCTCCCCCTAGCTCTGTCACTTCACTCTGGGGAGCAGCATCACAGGCTCAATTTTGAAACGGACAATGCCAAGTTTCTATTTGGATCAACTGTCATGAGTTCAAAATTCATATCATAAAATTATACTTATATATCACTACATTTTAAAAATCAATACAAAAATATAGCTATACAATTATAATGTATAATAACTATACATTGATGACTTTTGCTGTGCCCATTAAGAAGAAAAATTATACTTTAAAGTACAAATTGAAATACTGGAAGGCATAAATCCCAACGAGCTACTGAAAGAAAGCCAACACTGGCCTCATAGTACACTCAGTCTACACCAAAGAGAACTAAGTTCAAGATTTCTTTTTAAATTAGAAAGGAAACTGCAATTGCCAGAAGACTGAAAGAATATTAGACCAAAGCAAACTCTAGTATTTACAGCTGATATTTCATTTCAACTGTAATGAAAAGCAATGATAGAATGTAAAGGGCTGTAAGAAATAAAGGAGAGCTTGAAGATGATGTAAACTATGAGGACTCACATGAATACATTTGTTTAGCAAATGAGGTTTAAAGATCAGCTTTGCTAGGATATTAATTTAGCAAGTCCCATTTATATGTCAGGCTCTCATAAGCACATAAATATAATGAGTGGGTGGATGGTCATGAGACCTAGAATATTTCAAATACTCAATTCTAAAAAAATAATAAACAGTACACACCCTACCTTCTGAACATCAGCATCGTGTTTCTGCTGCAATTTAAGCTTCTCTTCATGATATTTAGCTTCCATCAGCTTTGTTTTCATGTCCAACTTCAAGGAAAACATTTTAAAGGTGTTATTAATTTACTTTTCCATTTTGCAAAAGTACACAATTAAATTAACACAAACTCCTGTATGAAAGAGAGCATCATTTTCCATGTTCACCTGATAGTCACCAGTCCAGCAGGCCCACTACATACACTCATACCCTGGGTGTACTCTGCGATCGCCTCCAAGCTGATTCAAGGTCTTCTGAACAAACCTCACTCTACAGGCCAAAGAACACAGACTCATCAGTGATACTCGGCCCACTCCACTCCCCCGAAAGGGTCATTGTGAACTGGTATTTTGCCAAATCCACTTGGTATTGTGTGGCACAGGCCAGGAGGACCCCCGACATTTCTTCCTCTCTTCTTCCTTGGGGCCCCACTAATTCCACCACCTCTGGGCTGGCTGGGGGGCTAACGGGGCGGAGGTGATGCAGACAACTGCGACGGACATGTTTTCTCGAAGTGGCTTTCCCTCCACCCTCTCTTTCTGAAGGGTGAGGAACCAAGACCTCAGGTGGAGACTGCAGCTCTGAGCTGCGGGCGGAGAGGCTGCCACCAGCCGGGTCCCCCGCGACATGGCAGAGCCGCGCAGTGCCAATGCGCCCCGTGCTGCCGGAGGAGTGCTAAGCAGGCCCTCTTCTCTAAACTGCTAACCCTCAGCAATACATAACTTTTTATTATGACTGTTTCACACACAAAAATACATATTTTCTACACCTTGCCTTTCTCTCTGAACAATATTTCATGGAAATCCCTCTAAAAACACTTGCTCTAGTTTTTATTCATTTTTTAAACAGTTACCAACTATTCTTTCATGAGGAGAAAATAAAATCTGTTCAACCACTCTTCTTAATGCATATTCACTTTCTTCTCAGTCTGTCTCCACTACAAACAACACTGCGAAACATTCTCATGTATGCATCCAGCACACCTGGATTTTGCTTTCTACAGGGTGGGTTCTCAAAAGACATGGCAATGATTCAAATCATCTAGATATATTTTGCCCTCTGTTAAAGGTAAATTCACATTTCTGCTGGAAGAACAGACATCTCACTACGATCCTAATGTGCATTTCCCTGAAAACTACTGTGTGTTGGCCCCTTGTCACATGTTTCAGCCAGTTCAGTTCAGTCGCTCAGTCTGTCCGACTCTTTGCGACCCCATGGACTGCAACACGCCAGGCTTCCCCGTCCATCACCAACTCTTGGAGCTTGTTCAAACTCATGTGCATCGAGTGAGTGATGCCACCCAACCGTCTCATCCTCTGTCGTCCCCTTCTCCTCCTGCCTTCAATCTTTCCCAGCATCAGGGTCTTTTCCAATGAGTCAGATCTTCACATTAGGTGGCCAAAGTACTAGAGTTTCAGCTTCACCATCAGTCCTTCCAATGAATATTCAGGATATAAATGTGTCACATGTTTGGGGCCTTCTGAATCTGGTCTTCTGTGAAGGCCCTTTCACGATTTTCGCCCACATTCCCTCCTGTCAACCAGTAAAATCTGGTACGCAGGTTTTATTATGCATTAATTCAATGTGTGTATATACATCACAGTTTATCTCTGATATTTTCCCCAAATTGATTGTTTTTCAATTGATTTTCTTTCTTTTTTTTTTTTAACCTTACAAACTCTTTATGTCACTTGAGTCAAATATTTCTATCATTTCTTTTATTCATTCTAACGTTTTTGGGTAAGAAAGACCTGATGCCAAGATTTTTGTTGTTTTGAAACTTTTTATCTGGGTGTTTACAGGTTAAGTTTTAGGTACATCCACAATTTTGGTTATTTTTGTTTTTAAAGGAAAGGACCCAATTTCTTTCCACGTAACTGAAAGGTTGTACCAGCATCATTCATTAAAAAGTCTTTTCTCAATGTATTGACAATGAACTTTGTCACTGTGATTTTATTTTTAAGGGGATTTAATTTTTTTCTTGAAATGTTCTTGGTTCTAACCATGTTGTATCTGCCTTATAAAAGCAGCTGAGAAGAGTATTCCCCTCTATTATCTCAGAGAATCTGTGTAACACGTAATACTGGAACACAGTTCTTCCTTAAGTGTTTCCTTAGATAAATACGTAGTTGTAAAGTACAGTGTGTTAATCCCCTTTTGGTAACTGTAGATACTCTTTTTAAGTAAACCAACACTCACAAGTGCTAGGTTTTCTAAGTTACATGGACTTAGTAAGTGGACTCAAGCTTTTCACCGTCACAGTCGGTCTGCTGGTTTACCCTGAACTTGGAATGGCTCTTCTACCCATGTCTGATGCTATGACATCATGCATTACTCAGTTGGAAAACATCAGTTCAATGAGTTGCAGAGATTTCCAAATATTGAAAATTTCACTACATAATATCAAAACCTTACACTGGTTAATATTACCACCAATCTCATAGTAAAAGTCTTAGTATTGGAAAGTTCTCAAGCTCACAGTGACTGATACAGGGTTGCCAAAATTCTAATTTGTATTAAAAGGTCAAATTCTATCATTAGCAGCAAATATGGTCAGTTGTTTTGCTTAAAGTGACAGGTTCAATTTGTTCACTTTCCAGAAAATGTCTCCCAATAACCAAGTCTGAATAACCATATTTTGTCTGTCATGTAAAAATGACATCCCACAAGCAGGAGCTATTACAGTTCATAACAGAGGAAGCACATGGGGTTTTCCTTCTGGCACTCCGATACACGCCTGGATATGCACCCTAAGCCCTCTATACACAGTTCTACTTTATCATTCATCTAGCCAGAAGATGTGTATTTGAGTTACAAGATTTAGTAAAATTAATAGTTTTCTACTTGCTTCACTGAGAACATTCTTACGTAAGTAAGATTGGTAATTTTTTCCCTGGGAGCATGTGGCAATGAAGAATACACCGACTGGTACAATCTGGTGCCACTGCCTTGATGTGGGTCAGGATACAGTTTTACCCAACACTCTGTGTGCAAAGTCAATACAAATGTCAGTACAGTAAAAAAAATTTTTTTAATTATTGCAAAAATAATTTTGACCTCATAGACCTCATGGATCATAGGGATCATAGGGTTCATGGCCCACACTCTGAGAACCACTGCCCTAAAGAAACTCTTGTACATATGTGTCAGGAGACACGTACAAGACTGTTCACAAGGTTACTGTTTGCAAAAGTCAAAATTAGAATAGATTCATCAACACAATGGCAAGAAAGTGTGGCAGAGTCATTTAATAGAAAGTACCGCAAATGAAGCCAACTACAGCTAAATGCCTAACAAATATGAGTGTTACCCACATACTACTGAGCAGAAAAGTTGTTTTATTTAAAAGAAGTTCAAAATCCACTGAACAGAAGTATTTTCATTCTTAAGAAGGCAGGCTTGGTAGCAAAGTCAACTTAAAAAGCAGAGGAGGGAAATGATGAGAGCCGTCAGGATGGTGGTTATTGTTGGGGAGGTGGGCGAGAGCAGGACTGAGGAGGTGGACGGCAGGCGGCCGGCGCCTTGGTCAGGATCTAACCCTTGCCTGCATGTGGTCCACGATGGTTTTCCTTTGAATAATTTTTACATCTTGTAAGACTGCGAGTCTCTGAATGCTCTATTCATAAGAAATGCTTTAAAGTATAAATTCTCTCATTTATTACATCAATGACTGTAGATTTTGTCATTTGGATTTATTTAAATTCTACATTTTACTAGGAGATTTGCAAAAGGAAAAAAATGCCTAATTGGCATTACGTGTAAGAAAGAAGCAAGGCAGCCTTTTAGGCAATGGGTGGAAACATTCACTGTGGGTGGAGGTAAAGTTCAAAGGAAATACTCTATTTTATTTCTCAAAAAGGGCAGTTTCCACCATCTGTTCTCTGAAAACTGATCTCCTCTCGTTGTGCTCTCTACTTTCAGTTTCAGTGACAACGGTTTTCCAAACGTCTTAATCTACATCAGAAATCTTTTTTAAGAATACTAAAAGAATTAAAAAAAGAAGCACACTGCTTGATGGCGCCCAAGGTCACACAGTCCTGTGATGTGGATATCACGGGAAACGTGTTAACAATTACAAAGGCAGACAAGTCCAAGCGTGTTTGTGAACGGCAGGCTAAGGTGAAAACAAAGGGTCACAGTCACCAAACATGTCTTCCCATAATGCCAAATAAGTTGAGGAAAATTTGTAATCTTAAAATAATGTCTATGTGTGTTTTTACCAATCAAAACAAAACTAGTACAGCTCTTCAACTCTAATAAAATAATACTGTGAATATTACTCATTTAACATCTAAGGTATCTTCTACAGAATTATAAACTAGAATGGAAGTTGTTTTATATTCCAAAGGCTAATTAAATATTTCAGAACTCACCAAAGCATCAACAGAATTAAATCATTTATTAAATGCAGACAAACTCTGTAATCTATAGAGAACTTCATGTCACTCAATTCTTTCCACACTTGCTGCATTCTTTAACTTAAGCACTCAACCTCCTAAGTCTTTATTTTATAACATTAAGAACCACTTAATCTAGATTATCATCACTACTTAGAGTAAAACCCTGTGAAATGGACCTGAGATTTAAATACAAAGATGAGCTTTTAAAAGAGACAAAAATATGAATTAATTTTTTCATAATCTTGGAATAAGCAAATCTTTTCTACACAATACAAAAACCAAAAGCCAGAGAGAAAAGACTGATGGAGCCACCTACTGAAAAGAAAACTTCTATATATTTTTTAAAAAGACACAAATAAATCAAAAGACATACACAGAAAAATACCTGTAAGATATATGACAGAGAACTGAATTCCTTAATATATAAACTGCTGAGGAATCACAATGAAGACAAACAATTTAACAAAAATATGGAAAGGTATAATAAAGGACAGTTCACAAAAGTGAAATTAAAAAAAACAATAAACAGACAAAAATATGTTCATTCTCACATAATAAAAGCAATGCAAATATTAAACAAGATACTATTTTTTTGTCTCACAGATAATCAAAAATGTTTATGATTCAGTGTTGCTGATTAAATGAGGAGACAGACACTCTCATACACTATTGGTGCAAGTATAAACAGACCTGACCTACAACATTCACCCACTTAAAGTATGCAATTGGATGTCTCCCAGTACATCAGAGAATTGCACAGCATCACCCCAGTCCAGTTCATGACTTCTCATCACTCCAAAAAGGAACGCTCACACTCACTGGCCACCACTCTCCAGTCTCACCAATGTCTGCAGCCCAAGGCAGACATAACATCATTTTAAGGGCAATCTGTCAGTTTCAATAAAAAATTAAAACGTGCAATCCTGAGAAGTTAGATTTCACAGAATTTATGGTCTAAGAATAAACATGCAATACATACAGCTGTACACAGGGATACTCTTGAAACACGGCTTGTTGTAGCAAAATATTCTTCATAACCTACATCCCTCAGTAGGAATCTCCAGTAATAAAACATGGGCCATCAATAAAACAAAGTATAGTGCAACTACTTGAAAGAATTAACTATGTTACTGACATAAAAATCATCAGAATTATGTTTGAATTTAAAAAGCAAAATGAAACAAATGTAGAGTATGACCTAATATGTTATTTGTATTTTTAAACTTTTAAAGAGAATACATATTAAATTTTTATCAATGATTACCTTGAAGAGTCATCAGGTGTTATGGAAATAAACATTACTATTTAATTTTAATATTTACTATTTAATTTTAAAATAAACGTAACTCAAACAAGACTATTTCTTATTTTTACAACATGACCCAACAACAACGAAAGCATTTCTGGACGAGAACGCACAGGACACGTCAGGGCTGTCCAACCCGGGTGTGCAAGAGTCTGCTGAACAGCAAGACAGAAAAGCCGCCACCCCAGGCCCGCAAGGGAGCCTCTAAGAAAAGTGACTTCAGCCAGTGGACCTAAGACCATCCTCCTACAGGATGACTAAACACATCACAGCGCAGCTATGCATTTAAGCGTAGGCAAAAGTCCATGTTAGAAAACTATCTCTGGAAAATCAGTAAAAATGGTAAAGCAGTAGGATTGATATTTTCTTGTTTTTAACTCTTTTATTTAAATGGACTTTTTAAACCTATCCGTCTATTCATGCACCATTCTAGAAAGAGTGTGAGGTAGTTACACGAATATACACAAACATAACGAGGTTAAAGGAGACGGACAGAAAGTTGGCATGAGTGTGGAACAGTCAGAGACCAACAGGACAGCACACAGAGGTGAGTGTCGTGAACAAGCGCAGCTCCTAGAAACAGGGTCTGGACACTCGGCCCCTTCAGTGGCCAGAATCGGGGGCACCAGGCTTCCCATTACAGAGGGCAACCAGGCAGCTCCTCGGGCAGAGCCCCACTAGGTTCAGCACAGAGGCGCACACGTGATTCAGGAAAACCAACAAAGCCTGAATGTCTTTTTATTAATGATTAACATTTCCTATTTCAAAAATGAAAATATTAAAAAAAACTGTGTCCTAAAACTGAAAAAAGCTTTTAAAAATCAATGCTCTATATTTAAAATATAATTAGTATCTTTATATTTACAAAGGCAATCTAAACTGCCACTTTTCTCAGCATTCATGTGGCTCCTAATTACCTCTGCCTTTTTACATTCATTCTCATTTTTGCATATAATACATTCTTTACTTGTATCTTAAAATCACATACAATATTCATGAGACTTCCAAGTATTAATTTTTATTTTAGAGGTTAAAATTTTTATGTTACTATACTTATAAAAATACATCATTTCAATTTTACTATGTAAGACATAATTCATTACCCCATACAAATATCTGAATGCATATAAAGATAGAGATATGAGGATATTTTTTCCCAGAATCATTTATATTAGTGAAAACTCAATCTCAGTACCTAACAATAGGGATACATCATTAGCTGGGGATAATTCTATAATATAGACTATAATACAGCCATTAAAAATAAATGCTTGGAAAAAAAATAAATAAATGCTTGGACAGCAAGAAGGTCAAATCAGAGAATCCTAAAGGACATCAGCCCTGAATATTCACTGGAAGGACTGATGCTGAAGCTGAAACGCCAGCACTTTAGCCACCTGATGCCAACAGCCAAGTCACTGAAAAGATCCTGATGCTGGGAAGGATTGAAGGCAAAAAGAGAAGAGGATGGCAGAGGATGAGGTGGTTGGATGGCATCACCGACTCAACCGACATGAACTTGGGCAAACTGCTAGAGAAAGCGAGGGGCAGGGAAGACGGTGTGATGCAGTCCACGGGGTCATAGAGTCAGACACAGCTTAGCAGCTGAACAACAACTTTCTGGGGAAAGCCAGAGAGACAATTCACAATATTTACTTGCAGCCGAGAACAGGCAGGAATGTGTTCTGATGTTACTAAACTGTACATGTAAAGATGTATGTATCATGTTAAACACGTATGAGAAATAAAAGAATGGACATCAAAAATAAATAAATAAATAAATGCTTAGGAGCAATATCTAGCAGCATAAAATACTCAAGTTATACAAAAAATACTCAAATTATATCATCTCAATTTCCTAAAGAAAAATAACATGTATTCTGTAGAATACATTAAAAGAGAACCAAAGTCAACACAATGCTGCCTTTTCATTTGTATATATTAATTTCATACGTGATTTTATTTCCTTCTTTACATATGTCTGCATTTTACACAATTTCTTTTCTTCCCCCTCTGGGTAATAAAAAGCTTTATTTTTCTTTATTTTATTATATTTTACAAAATTTCTTTTAATAAACATCCAAAGTTATTTAATAATCATATTTAAAGATATTGCTTTAAAAGAAACTAAGGTGTCACACTGAAGCAACTCAGCCAGCATACACTCTTAAATATTTTAGGAGGAAAAAACGACCAAACATTTCACCCAAAATAGTCAGAAACAACTATGTAACTACACAAAGGGTTATTCTAGTCAAAATATACACTGGGTATATTTTAAGATATGGTGTAAGTTGATGTTTACATGCAAACTTCTCAATGATCCCACAAATATTTTTACCAGTATACCAAAAAGAAAAAGAAAAACACAGGGGTACAGAAAAAAGAAAGCCACACACGTTCAGAAATGAATCTCCGGTGCAACACATGGTACTTTTAAGAATCTTCTCTTTCAACACGTATTGGGGAGCATTGGTATGCTTAGCCCTAACCCGAGGTGTAAACATAAAGAGGAAGAGTACTGTGTCACAAAAGACCAGAAAAAATTTCAAAAAGACAGGAGGTGACTATTCTATGGTAAGCAGTCTGAACAGTAAGAGGGAAAATGGTTGGTAATGACTTGGAATGATGTGTAAAAACAACTGACAACTTCTTAAAAGGAAAGAAAAAATTTCAGAACAAGAATTTCAAAGAAGGTCCATCTGAATATAAGTATTTTCCTCAAAAAGTTTCTATGGAATGTGACATCTTTTTATTTCCACAGGTTTTTTAAAAGCACCAGCAGTACACTAAGAAACAAAGGCCCTCGGGCCTCAGATGGGAGCGCTAACAGGTCTCTGAACTACTGAGCCAGCAGCGGGCACGCCAGCAGGCTGACTTACGGGGCAGAGCTGGAAGACGCTGCTGCCCCCGTGTACACACAGGCGACCGACGAGGACCTGCCGCACGGCACACGGAACTCGGCCCCAGGCCCTGTGGGACACAGCGGAAGGGAGATCCAAAAAGGAGGGATCTGCGTACGGGCATACCTGGGAATCCTGCTGCTGAACGGCAGAAACGCACACACCCTCCAAAGCAGCTCTGCCCCCACGCCGGTGAAGACGGAACGGGAGGCCTGCCTTTACCTGCGCCAGGATTCTACGCTGACACCAACAGCCCCTTCCTACCAGGCCTGCACTACTCTAACTAGGACCTGAGAGCTCAGTCACACAAAACACGAAAACTGTGCACAGATTAGATTCGCCAGAAACATCGAGACCCTACCTCTTTCTCATGCATGCGGGAGAGTAACTGGTCATCGTGGAGACTGCTGGATTTTCTCAGGCTGAATTTCGGNTAGGACCTGAGAGCTCAGTCACACAAAACACGAAAACTGTGCACAGATTAGATTCGCCAGAAACATCGAGACCCTACCTCTTTCTCATGCATGCGGGAGAGTAACTGGTCATCGTGGAGACTGCTGGATTTTCTCAGGCTGAATTTCGGAGTCATCTGTTGAATGAGGAAGAGCCATTCAATACTGTTTCAGGCCTGATGCAGCCAAACGTAAACTGCAAACTGACTGAAGTTCATGCCAAAACAAGACAAACAGCGGAGGAAAGAAAGGGATTTATTCACTCCCAAGTGATAGGATTAACGAGACTGCTGTACTTCATACTGTGGGCTGGTTGCTTTCTGTAAACAACTAAACAATTATTTTATTTTAAGACATCTGCCCACAGGGAAAGCGCAGGGCAATTCTCACCTACCAGAGTAACTGGGATGGGCTTCTGTCTCAGGTATCGAGGGTTTTCTATCTGAAATTTTAAAATAAAGACATTAATATTTGAGTATTAATTAAACTATAATGAAAATGTTTTCCATATGTCCTAATATTTAGCATGTTTCTTAGAATACATATTGCATAATATATTTCTAGTGGCCCACTAACAAATAAAACATAAAGCGTAGCCGCCTCTGCACACACGAACGCCCTCGAGTGACCCTCTCACAGCTGAGGCCCCGGCCGCCCCCAGCCAGCTCACCTAACGCTTCGCCCCCAGGTCCTGAAGGGCCCTCGTCACCAGGAGACGGCAGGTCTCCTGCGCCTGTCTACCTCTGCCCAGCCCACCCAGTCCCTGTAAGCACGCACCTAGCATCCTTCAAGTCTCAATTTAATCACTACACCCCCAGGCAGATTTGGAAATCTGAATGACATAAGCATATGAAAACATGCTCAAACTATCTAGGACTATGAAAACCACAAGAGATGGCACTTTCAGCCACCAGACAGGCATATATTAAAACTGGACACACAGAGAAAACAGAGACTTATGGGCTACCAAGGGGTACGGGGGAAAAGGATGATCTGGGAGACCGGAATTGACATATACACACCACTATACATAGAATATGTAGCTCAGCTGGTAAAGAATCTGCCTGCAATACAGGAGACCCAGGTTTGATTCCTGGGTTGGAAAAATCCGCTGGAGAAGGAAATGGCAACCCACNTTTCACTTTCATCAAGAGGCTCGTTAGTTCCTCTTCACTTTCTGCCATAAGGGTGGTGTCATCTGCATATCTGAGGTTATTGATATTTCTCCTGGTCATCTTGATCCCAACGTGTGCTTCCTCCAGCCCAGGGAAGGGAGTGGCAAACCACTGCAGTCATAAAACTGGTAAATGGCAATAACCTGCCACACAGCACAGGGTGCTCCTCAGGACTCCGTACCGACTCACGGGGGGAAGACTCTTAGGAAGAGTGGACACACGTGTGTGCGATCGATTCACGCTGCCGTACAGCAGAGAGTAGCACGACACTGCAGACCAACTCGACTCCAGGAAAAGAAGTTAAATAAATCAGTTCAGTTCAGTCGCTCAGTCACATCCAACTCTTTGTGACCCCACGGACTGCAGCAGACCAGGCCTCCCTGTCCATCACCAACTCCTGGAGCTTGCTCAAATTCATGCCCATCAAGTTGGTGATGCCACCCGACCATCTCACCCTCTGTCGTCCCCTTCTCCTCCCGCCTTCAATCTTTCCCAGCATCAGTTTCCATGTCCAGTTCTAACTGTTGCTTCTTGACCTGCATACAGATTTCTCAGGAGGCAGGTCAGGTGGTCTGGCATCCCCATATCTTTAAGAATTTTCCACAGTTTATTGTGATCCACACAGTCAAAGGCGCTGGGATAGTCAATAAATGAGTTTGTAAATCAATAAATAAGTTTTAACAAATAAATTAAGTTAAAAAACAAAAATTAAAAATTTGATAATAAACGTGTTCCAGATGTGGGGCCCTACTGTTGGGTGTATGACTTAGTCCATTTACTTTGGGAAACATTATTAAATAAAGATAATAATAAAGTCTACTTAAATATCATACCAGAGACAGAGGCATAGTCTTTAGTAAACAAAATGGTACTATATATACACAGCTTTTGAAAAACAGAGGCAGCCAATTTCCAGCAGGCAGCAAAGTACACTCAATAAATATTTATTGTCTGAAGGTATATATATGAAAAGTAAGTAACCATTCTCTATTTTTGGAATGGAGAAAACCAGCATAAAAAGTAAGTCCTTCAAAGACACATGCACATAAAACCCTAATTCATGAAGCAGAATTAAATACAAGGGGAAAAATAAAGGAAGAGAAAAACAGAGAATTCTCAAAGATGCTCAAGCTCTAATTAAGCTTAAAATTTAAACCCAAAAGCCAAGAAAACCATCTGTGACTTATTTTTACCCAGCTCTACATTTATAAGCAGGGTACAAAATATTGGTTTAGCTAATTACAATGTAGCCTTTCAACTATGCAGAAATAACTATTTCATCCTCTTCATCTTTAAAAATCATTAAATACAGAAGTTAAGGACTCATCGTGTTATCATAAATTTCCTTTCTCAAGTTGACAAAAGTCTATTCTAATATTTAAAAGCAACAATGAATGCTGTAAACAAGCATGAATCTTCTGTTGCTCTTATTCATTTACAGTACATTGTCTGATACCCACTTTTAACATGTAACGAGAATTATTCATAGGAGAGCATGTTCTTGAGTCTGTTTGAGGGAAATAGGCAATCTATTTTCTGATTTTGTAACACCAGCCAGATGTGCTTTGAAGTTGAATGTTCCGACTCTGTAATCCACAAGCAACAGGGACTTGCAGAAATCTGTAAACAGTCTTAACACTGATTTTCTTCATGCTGTTTCAGAAGACTTCTTGTTCTCTCATAATATAATACCTCAAGAAAGAATACCACAATAAAGAATGTCCAAAATGGAAGATAAAAAGAGCTTAAGTGAAACATTAAAGTCTGACAAAATATTATACAGACAGTAACGCCAAAAATAATTAAGTTCCAATAGCATGAATAAATCACATGACAGAATGTTTCTTGTTTGAAAAACAAGTACAATCACAATAATAAATAAATAGTAATTTAAACTAGACATGAAAACAGATATCTGAATGCTCTCTAATGAAAACTGCCTTTTGACGCTTTCTTTATTTTTTCAGCAGAATTGTTCAAAGAGTTCTGTCAGTTTGTCTTTTTCAAATTATTCAGGATTTGGTCAAACTGACCTCCTTATAGACCAATATTGATCAAAGAGAGATGTTCCAAGGTTTCAGAAAAATAGGAAGACACTTTATCTGGTATTTTGGCCATCTTAGAGGAAGGGACATTCTAAGGCAATATATTACAAGCAGCACAGCCAGAATAACTGTTCTCACAGTCAGAGCGCCCGTCAGAAGGACGGCCAAACCTCTTCCTACAGCATAAAATAAATTCAGTCACCAATGTCACTTATGCTCCAAAATAATGCTCTTACTCTTAAGTCGATATTTTAGAAATTGAAAAATGTTTTCCACAGAAAAAAATACAATACCACAAACGGGTTTACTCACATTTCAACATTTAATGAGAACAAATGAAATACAGATAAGAAACACCATTCACTGCCACAAGGACAGCAAACAAGCCACGGACAGAATGGGAACACGCACATGCTACCGTCTGATCTGTGAGACGGAGCCCATGCCGAGCGTGCAGCAGGGGGAGAAGAGGCCCCTCGGCAAGTGAAGCGTCAGGCGGACACCGCAGGGGCCACGAACCTACTTCCCATCTCACAGCAGACCCCGCAACTGCCTGCGGGCGGCATGCAGTTCCAAGTAGAAACAGTAAAACCACACAGCTGCTAGAAGAAGACCTGGGAGAACCTCTTCAAGAACTCAGGACAGCCACATCCTTCACACAGACACAGAAAGCAATTTTTCATGAGACAAAATCACGGGAAAATGAACCACATTAAAATTTTCAATTCCTGGGACTTCCCTGGTGGCTAATACTGCGCTCCCAAAGCAGGGGGCAGGGGCTCAATCCCTGGTCAGGGAACTAGATCCCATATGCTGCAACTGAGAGTTCACACGCCTGAGCCAAAACTAAGAGCCCCGTGCAGCCAAATGAATAAATAAAAATTAAAAAACATTTTTTTAGTTCCTGTTCATCAAAGACAGCAGTAAGAGAATGGAGGAAAGCAACAAAGTGGAAGAAACTATTTATGATACTAAATTCCGAAAGGACTCATCCAGAATAGATACAAAGCTCTTCTATGTTGACAAGAAAAAGGCAGACAGCCCAACAGCAGAACGCGCCAAGGCCCCAGTCACCACTGCACCCTGGGAGGCCGCCCAAACTGTCCATCAGCGTATTGAAAGGGATCTAACTTTATCCGTCATCAGGAAAATACATACTCAGTCCACACGTGCAGTGTCACTAGCCGCTGCAGAGAATGGCTCAGTTGCATACTTGAAAGAAAACTATTAATAACTGGCACCTCCAGGTACCAGAGAGAAAGCAAGGGGCAGGCACGGCACACGCAGCGTTGGATGAGGACGCGCACGGGCGTCTTTCGATCCGACGGCGCTCGCAGCACCGCGTGCACCATCACCCTGAGCCCAGCCTCGCGGAGCCCACGCTCTCCCTTCCCCACCACGCAGCCCCGCTCCTCCACCTGGCCTCCCCGGTGGGTCCGCTCGGCCCCCACACTCCTTACCGGGGGTTCCGGGATGTGCAGGCGCCCCGGCCCTGGACAGGAGGTCCCGCCAGGGGCCCTGCCCTCCAGGGGGGCCACCGGACTCGGGGTGCTGTCCACCCTCCTGCTGACCATCCTGTCCTGCGAGGTCTCCAGGACATGAGTTCTCCAGAACAGAACAGAATGTTCTCTCGCCCATTCTGCAGAGACCTGACCTAAGGGGGTCACCCAGAGTGTACCCACTGTTTGCTCCTGGTGGAAGCGAGCCTCCACAGTCAGCACAGAGGCCCCAGAGGGCACGGGCTGGGGGCGGTGACCCGGGCAAGGCCTGGGTGCGGACAGGTGGGGGTCTGGTGACCCATGCGAGGCCCAGGAGAGACTCCTCCAGATCCCCCAGTCCTCCTCAGGAAAAAAAGAAAAAAGTTTATATAAAGACGGTCGTGAATGAAATGTATATAAGATAGGTTAACAAAGCAAGAAAGCTCCCCCAAAGCTAAAGGTTAAAAAGGCTAAAGAGTAATAATAGTAAAAAATAATAATACAGGAGGAAAATTTAACCGCTAGGTTTAGGAAGTAAATTTCTACTTGAATTATATGTTCACAGGGAAAATATTAAAACACTCCTGGGAAAAGAAAGAATATAACTGGGGGAAATGTATATTTTCAACAAAAACTAGAAAATTCAAAATCTGGAACTTCTAATGCATCAGAAAGTAAGTGTTGACAGGCATGCCAGCAACATAAAAAAATGTGCCCTTAGTATAGAGCACAAAAACTAACTAGTTATTAACTGATCATTCGGAGGAAGAAAGATATAAAAGTCCATTACACATTCTCATACAAAACTAAAATCAAAGCAAAATCTAAGCTTTTTAATACACTGGATATTTAAATTATTCTACTGTGATGAAGAGATATAGTTGAATCTGATTAATACATCTCTGTTATAAATATAGAAAAATGAGGGACTTTATTTCACACTGTGAGCGCAATCTTTGAACAATAAAATTGTGAAACAAATCCCAGGCGGCCCTAGTTTTAAGGCAGTCCCTCAAAATAGTTTAGATTTTTTATCTTAATTTTATTATATAAATGAAAAGTTTAATCCTCTGAACAGTTAAATATTTGTGAAAAGTACTGTGTGTGCTACAAAATGCACATCAGAAGTTCTCAGCGGCCTGGGGCAGAGGCCGCTGCAGAAGGACGTCCCAGCACGCCCTTCTCTCTGATTCTGCTCTCCGACGCCTCCTCGCTCCTCTCCCGCACCAGGAAGTCAGGACTCGTTCTGGGGGCAGCTTCCCCGACTCCTTCAAATTTGGAAATGGTTTTCTTTTGACCCATTCCCTTCTCGTTATCAATGCTATTTCTCTCTTCTCCGACATTAACATACCTTCAAATGACTCACTTCAAATCCCTTCCTGTCCCCCCCCTCTGACCCTCTGACGGTGGCCGCTGAGTCCCGGTCTGAAGTCTCTGAAGACAGCTGTCCCCAGGCTCTGGGCACGGCCACCACGTCCAGCCTGTGGCTGCAAAACAAGACTGCAACCCTGGAGACCACAGAGCTGAAAGCTTGGAACTCTCCGATTACTCTCCGAATGAAAGCAGTCTATGATAAAACGGAGAAACCCTTGAAATGATTCCGCCACCAGTCAACCAGGTAGCTGACAGCGAGCCAACCCTCCCATTTTCCTGGAACCAAAGCTTTAGATGCCCTCCTGTTCAGCTCGCCCGTCAGTCACTAAGCATTCTTTATTCTCTTTGAAACGTTTTCCTTTTCCATCTCTTCCATGCTCAGAGTCAGAGCAAGGCGGAGCCCGCACACATGCCCGCTCCCCTTCTCTACTTCCATACACACCCAACACAGCCTTCATACCACCACCCAGTCTCCCTAAAGCACTGCCTTCACCAAAGATCATTATTAGCAAGAAGGGTTTCAGGGTNTGGAGCCCGCACACATGCCCGCTCCCCTTCTCTATTTCCATACACACCCAACACAGCCTTCATACCACCACCCAGTCTCCCTAAAGCACTGCCTTCACCAAAGATCATTATTAGCAAGAAGGGTTTCAGGGTTTTTATAAAAGTAACCGTCCCTGATGTAGGCGAAGAAGTAAAAAAAGAACAGTCCGATATACTTCTGGCTGGAAAACAGATTGGTGTATGCCTTATGGAGGGCAATGCTCCAAGACCTAACGTGATCTAAGAAGCAACCAAACAGGAACAGGAGGGCTCTTGCAAGGACTTCGGCTGCAGCTGTGACTTATGTTAGCAATGAACTGGAAGCAGCCTTTACGTCCAAAATGTCAGAGTGCTTAAGTAAGTTATGAACTGTCCACTCATAAGAAAACCTGTGCTACCATTAACAGTCATGCTAACAGAACTACTGTAAACCTACCCCAAATTTAAAACAGCACATAATAAAATAGCATTTATAATATGACCCCGATTTTGTTTAAAGTTTAATTTTATAAATACATGCAGAAAAAAATGAGGGAAAGATATATATAACAAAATGTTAATACATCTCTCAGCATACCTGACTTTCTGTATTTTTCAAATTACAAATTATTTTTATAATAATAAAGTTGGGTTTTAAAAATTGAAAAAGCCCTTTTCACTTCCTGAAAGCATTAAACAGCCTGTATGTACAGTGGAAACGTGGAGGCGGGGGAACTAACGTCAGAGGTCACGACCGTCTCAAATCTGAAAGCGGAACTTCCGCTTTAGCAGTCACGTTGCAACAGGCCCCAGCCCGGCAGCCCTGCCCACGGCCCCGAGCCCCGCTTTCCCCGCCTTTCTTCGCGCCTCCTCCGGCCTTAAGCTCCTGGCCCCTTTCTCTCCACCGTCCAGGCACACGGGCGCCCAGGCCTCCGCAAATGAAGACTGTCCAAGATGGTGGTTCAGGCCTGAAGTCTGCCGGACAGCTTTCTCACCCATGTGGCCTTCTACTTTCCGGGTAACTTATTCTGGCATGCCATCACATGCTGTCTGAAACTGTCTTTAACTGTTTCATGTGCCTATCTGCTATCTCACCAACAGGAAAGCCAGCTTGTCAAGCATAGGGACCACTCACACTTCTCTTTCCTGTCCCCCAAGGCCTTCCCAGCGCTCACCCGGGACTAAGTGTCTAAGTGTCTAACATGGGTAAGAGTCATTGTTTAGAATTAAATTAGTTCAGATGCTTCCCAAACACAGAATGATTCCGCCACATCAACATACATTTGTAAGACAAATGCTTTTTTACCCCAAGATTCCAACTATTAAGGCGAGTTTCCATGTCACTGTCATCCAAAGAAAGAGGAGATTTTTTCAAATGAATATCCTGAAACACAAAAAAAGAAAAACAGAATGAAAACAAAAGACAGAATGGAGGAAAGCAGGAAGGATGGAAGAAGTAACAGAGGAAAGAAGGAAGGAAGGGCAGAGGGGACGAAGGGAGAAAAGAGGACGAAATGCCTGTCGTTCAGAGTGACGAGTGCTCCTGTGCGTTCTGGTAACGCTCGACCACCCTGAGAGGGAAGGGCTAGGCTACAGCTGAGCTAGTCGCAGTTCCAAGGGATGACTGTTTATTACAGCTGCTTAAGGCTATGAGACTCCTTCACAATATATTTACATTAACTGGATTTCAAAAAATCAAAAGAATATTTTAAAAAATAATCCAGACTCTTTAAATTCTTTTACAAAAAGTTTTAATTGTGGTGTACCATGGTAGTTTTAAAGGCGGGAAAGGGAACACTTGAAAAGATGAATTACTTAATTCTCGTTAAAATGAGTTAACAGGGAAGTTTGGGTTGATGTCCAAGAAACTCTTTGTTCTTAAATTATTTCTCCATTATACACCAAACATAAAGAGAAATAAGCCTTGGATTCACATCATGAAAACGTAATCATGGTAATTCTTAACTTTCTTAAAAAATTAAAACTCCATGCTCTTTTCCCTGCTGTATAATTTTTTATATTACATATCTATCAAATCAGATTAAAATCATAATTAACTGAGGAAAGCCAAAGATCTGTGTCCAGAAATGGACAATGATCTGAAAGCCCAAAAACTTACCAAGGTAACTCGGTATAAAAGAATAATGTATATTTTACATTACAGCTAAAAAATTTTAATTTAATTTGTTGGTATAGCACTTTCATGCTTTTAGAAAACCTTGTGCATACGCACCAAGTCACTCCAGTCGTGTCCAGCTCTTCTCGACCCCGTGGCCTGTAGCCTGCCAAGCTCCTCTGTCCATGGGGTTCTCCAGGCAAGAGTACTGGAGTGGGTTACCATTTCCTTTTCCAGAGGACCTTCCCGACCCAGGGATCCAACCAGTGTCTCTTGCGTCTCCTGTACTTGCAGGCGGGTTCTTTGCCGCCAGCTCCACCTGGGAAGCTCCTAGGAAACCTCGCTGCTGCTGACGCTGCTGCTGAGTCGCTTCACTCGTGTCCGACTCTCTGTGACCCCACAGACGGCAGCCCACCAGGCTCCTCTGCCCCAGGATTCTCCAGGCAAGAACACTGGAGTGGGTTTCCATTTCCCTCTCCGGAAAACCTCATTACTAACAAATAAATCTATCTATGGTCATTTATATTATCTGAAGTAATGAAAAATACACTAAAATGTTCTTCATATTTTACTCATTTGAAATCTAGAAATTAATTAGAAACTAATTTAGAAACTCAGAAACTAATTAAAAATTTACAAATTTCTATTGAACAAAATGTTGGGTTTACTATTTATACTGTATTAAAATTCATTATTGCCTCTACAGTTGGTCCCTTGCTTTTTGAATGTTTGTGTGTGTGTGTGAATGAGAATATCTTTTAAAATGTACCTCCCTTGTTTATTTTGAATAAATATGATGATTAATAATAAATTCACAAATATTTAAAATGTGTTCTTCTTTATATCAAGAGGCTTATTAAAGTTCCAAACTGGAATTCCCCATCACTGGAGAAAATAGAAGGAATTATATGTAAAGCAAACGTCCTAAAAAAGTCAAGCATCACACATGGCTTGCTTAACTAAAAGGCTTGTAACCCAAGACAAGCCAGAATTATACAAGGATGGAGGCAAGCAGGCAAAGTCCTTCTCTTTACGAAGCTCACTAGCTCCAGGTTCAAACAATCTCTCTGCTGAGTCTAACACGCAAGAGAGGTGTTTGTATTTCAGGATGCGAACAGCCCACCTTCACCAGGAAGGAAGTGTCCTCTACTTCACTACAAACCAGTCCCATTTCTAAGTTTATGACCCCTGTGTGTCTAGTCATTTTTATATATACACAGAGAAAAGGGGGAAGAAATAACTAAAAAATGAAGTTTTTCAAAGTTATTTTTCAGTGCCCAGGAAAAATGACAGACTGATGAACACAATGCTTCAGAATGTTAGGGAAAGCAGAAGGAACATAGCAATATACCCAATATGTCCCTTTCTTTGAAATCAGGATACCCACCAAAACCATCAGACTGTCTACTGTTTGTCAAGAATCATAGGAATTTAACAATATGAAACTAAAAATGTGTGGAGATATTTTAAAACAAGAAGAAAACAAACAGAAAAGCGAGGGTGAAGTCTGATCTTACACAATCCTTTGGGGTAATAATCCGTCCATCTTCTCTGCGGGTTGGACTCATAGACTGTGATCTGGTTTGGAACTTCGCAATGCACTGTTCCCTATTAAGAGACCAAAATAGTCACAGTCAGAACTGGGGGAATTCAGAGGACATGAGGGCATTAAAACCTAGGGCTGTCATGTTTTTTTCTTTTGGAAATGAGATGGTTGCTTATATTAACAGCGATATTTCAATAGCAAAGAAAAAAATACAGATAATAACCACTTGTATCTCACATTTTACTTCAATTAGGTGACACAACAAATAAAATGTCACCTAAATGTCACATGCTTTCTTACAAACAAATGCTGCTGTCAAGTGGGACTATAATAACCCACAGGCATTTCCCCTTTTTCTAAGAGTAGGAAGAGAAAAGCTAAAGCGTACCCTCTCAGAGAAGATAAGTGTTTTAAAAGGTTAGCAAGTTTTGTTGGACTCATGCTTCACATTAAGATAAAGTCTTAAAACACATAAAATAACAAAACTCTCATGTAGCTGAAAGTCTGAAAATTCAAAACCATGTCAGAAACCACAGATAAATCAAAGTCCTAAATTTAAAAATATGCCATGTTAATTCAGGTAAAATATGATAAGCACAGCATAAATAGGAAAATGGTTTAAGCTTCCAGATGAATTTGAACAAAAAAGATTTTCCTCCAATATAAAATACACCAAATATTCAAAATGCCATTCTCCATATTCTACTTTAGCCTGGAGTCTCCCAGATATTTTTATTCCAGCTGCTTCAGTGAAAGCTCCATGACGACAAATACCTATTCTCTGAATGGCTCCTTCAGGAGATACAAAATGAAAATGAACCATTATTGGATGAATTAGTCACTGACTTTCAACTTCTAGCCATAGCAGGATTTCCCTCACAAGCTGTGGGTCATACTAAGTGTTCCCAAAAGACAAAATTGTAGTTCAGAAAGACAAGGTTAAAATGAATGTGGGTTTTGGTAGTTAACACTGACAGAATGACAGTCCTTAGACTAGTTACTAGGTAATTTAGAATTTCTGAAAAAAGCTGTTTTAAAGAGAGCTGTGGACTTTTTATACCCTTAATCAATAGTCCAGATATCCAAACACTTAAGAATAAATAAGAAAAAGAAATAAAGTGACATTTTGAGGATAATCTCATCAGTCAGTGTGCCTGAGCGGATAAGAAGCTCTTCACACTTAGCGTGTGGCACATACTACATCACAGTAAGCAGTGCCTGCACCTTAAGAACAGATTAAACAATCATAAAAAGAGCTCTGCTGAAAAATTGAAAAATTGCTTAAATATTAAAAGTCATTCTTCTCACAGAAAATATTAATAAAAAAGAGGACTGAAACATTTATCTGTTTATTACACCGGGTGCATACATAAACCAGCACGTCCTCTCAAGTGGCGGGCGGCCGTCCTCTGGACCAACCCCGCTCGCTCCTTCTCGGTGAGCCTGCCAGGGGGGCGGCGGGTCCTTGTCCTTTCCAGTCACCCTGCAGGCGCTGAGCGCGAGGTCCGCAGGCGCAGAGGAGCCGAGACGGTCCACTCCCTGCCTTCCCCCTGAAACCGCAGGGGCGCTGCGGCAAAGGCGCCGCATGCACTGGCTCCGCAGAGCCCTTCCTTCCAGTTCCCACCGCTGCTGCAGACGCTCCCTCACCGCCCACTGCCGCACCGCCCCGAACGTGCCTGGTCTCTGAGCCGGGAAGCTCAGCGGGGTCGGGCCTGGTCAGCCCGCTTCTCAGCTCTTCCGCTGGTTTAAGGTCACAGGGATGGGGCCAAGGTCACGGTGATGGGGCCAAGGTCACAGGGATGGGGCCAAGGTCACAGGGATGGGGCCAAGGTCACGGTGATGCAGCTGGAGGCCCCGGTGAACAGGGGGACATAGGGCAGGAGGCAGAGCTTCACCCTCGGTTATCCTGCATGAAGAGCGGCAGGTGCTGTCTGCCCCACAGAAGAGCCGGTCGAGGTGCTCACAGAGACCGCCTGTAGCTGGGGCAAGGAGCAGGGTCACAGAGGCATCAGGATTCCCGTGGTGGTACCGGAAGAGGGAACACCAACACAGAAAGCAAGATCTCAGCATGCTAGTGAGGGTCCCTGACAGGAGAGCACCACCTTACTCCTCTGAAGGGGCAAGACTATGGGAAATACAAAATTTTCCCTGTCACTTCTTCCCAAGGCTAACGTTATGTTACTCAGTCACGTCCAATTCTTTGTGACCCCATGGACTGTAGCCCACCAGACTCTTCTGTCCATGGGATTTCCCAGGCAAGAATACTGGAGTGGGCAGCCATTTCCTTCTTCAGGGGATCTTCCTGGCCCAGGGATTGAACCTGGGTCTCCTGTATTGCAGGTGGATTCTTTACCATCTGAGCCACCACGGAAAGGTAAAATATGTCAACAGAAATCCAGAAACATCCTCCCCACATCCGTGTTCATCCCAGATACTACAGAATCATAGACTTGTCACTATAAAGATAGAGAAGTAATGAGATGTAAGATTTAAAAGTCTAAAAAAGGACTAATTGAATGCACTTCTGCTAAAGAAACATAAATACATAGAAAGTTTCTAAACAGTCTTTTTAATTTGTTCTCGATGTGATTCAAGTAGACATTTCAGATAGATAAGGAAATAAACAATCTGTGATCATAAAAATGTGCTTAAGAATAAAAAACACGATTGCCAAATTTTAAAACCACAATGTAAGAAGAGAATGACAGATTAAATATAGCATAAAAATCAAACCAGCAAATTAGAAAACTAGTTCAAGAAATATTCTGAGAACACACAAAAAATAAAGGAATGAATATAATGAGTGAAAATGTAAGAGATGAAGAAGATAAATTCAAAATCTCTTATATCAAAATAATATGAATTCTAGAAGGCTTAAATAGAAACAGAAACTAGGAAAATAGTAATTAAATACATAGCAATGACAATGCCAGTTAAAACTGCATTTTAACTGGAGAAGAGCCTAAATGAATAACCCAGGATATCTCTTTTAGCTCAGACAAAAATTCAATTAAAAAAAAAGTAATATCATGCTATCACCAAAAAAGACCACAAGTAAGTGTTGGTGAGGATGTGGAAAAAAGGAAAATCTATTACCCTATTAATGGGTATGTAAGTTGGTGGAGCCACTATTGAAAACTGTAAGGAAGTTTCTCAAAAAACTAAAAATAGAACTACCATATGATCCAGCAATTTCACTCCTGGGTATATATGCAAAGATGAAAAACACTAATTCAAAAAGATACATGCATCCCAATGTTCATCAGTTCAGTTCACTCATTCAGTCTTGTCCAACTCTGCGGCCCCTTGGACTGCAGCACACCAGGCCTCCCTGTCCATCACCAATTCCTGGAGTTTACTCAAACTCATGTCCATTGAGTCAATGATGCCATCCAGCCATCTCATCCTGTGTCATCCTTTTCTCCTTCCACCTTCAATCTTTCCCAGCATCAGGGTCTCTTCAAGGCAAATACCATTCAACTTTCTGCCTCTCTGAATTTACACTTCATTCATGTAAGTGGAATCAGAAGGTATTCCTCACATTGTGACTGGCTCTTCTGCCCTCGCATGATAACTTCGAATTTCACCCATGTTGTAACATGTGTCAGAATTCCCTTCTTTTTTAAGGCTCAGTACTATTCCACTGTATTACATACCACATTTTGTTTATGCGTTCAGCCACTGGGTTCCAGTTCCTCCACATCCTTGCTAAGCATGTAGTCTGTTCGCTCATCTGTTTTGCAGTAGACATCCTAATAGATATAAGGTTTGGATTTGCATTTCCAGAATGATTAGTGATCATTTCTTTGCAGAAATGTCTGTTCAAGTCCTTTGCTCATTTTTTAATCAGGTTGTTTGTTTTTATTGTTGTTGAATTGTGGGACTTCTTACATATTCAGGATACCAGTCGCCTTTTCAGACAGGTGATTTGTAAATACTTTCTCCCATTCCATGGGTTGCCCTTTCACTCTGCTGACTATCCCTTGATGCACAAAAGTTTTTAAGTTTGAGGTAGTCCAATTTATCCAGGGCCTTTGGGGTTGCTGGCTGTGCTCTTGGTGCATATCCAGTAAATCAATGCCAACCCCACTGTCACAAAGCTTCCTTTGTATTTCCCTCTAAGAGTTTTACAGTCTTAGATTTTACCTTTAGCTATTTGATCCATTTTGCATTAGATTTTGTATGTGAAAAGGAAGAGTCAACTTCGTTCTATTGCATGTGGATGTCCGGTTTTGCCACATCATTTGTTGAAGACTGTCCTTTCCTACTGAATGCTCTTGGCATCCTTATCAAAAATCACTTGACCATATATGCAAAGGTATATTTCAGGGCTCTCTATTCTAATCTGTCCATATGTCTGTCTTTATGCCTGTACCACACTGTTTCCTTTTTAAATTTTATCCAATCATTCATTTGTCCATTCATTCATATATTCCTTTGGCAAATAACTGAGTCACTGCGTTCCATGGTATAGTGACGGGTCTTAGGAATCCCACTGTGAACAGGGTAGAGTCTCCCCCTCAAGGAGCTTTGTGAAGATGAACCACAGGCTGATATCAGAAAACACTACCCTCCTTTATTGTTTGCATAAGATCGTTCTCAATTAGTCTTTGTATCATCTTCATAAAACATGGAGTCACAGGAAGAAAAACGCTTTACTGGCTGGAACACAACACCTAAGAATGGTGGCTTCTCCATCACTGTTGCTGGCAAACCCTGCTGCCTCCTTTGCCAAATCTAGGCAGAGAGCATCAAGTGTCGAGGGGGATGCTCACATTCCCAGCAGTGTCTGTCCTCTGTGGGCGTCCCTCATGGCTCAGTGGAAAAGAATCTGCTGCCTGCAACGCAGGAGACACAGGTTCGACCCCTGGGTCGGGAAAGTCCCCTGGAGAAGGAAACGGCAACCCACTCCAGCATTCTTGCCTGGAGAATCCCATGGACGGAGGCGCCTGGCAGGTGGTACACAACGCAGTCACAAAGAGTTGGCCATGACTCAGCAACTAAAGCAACAACTGTCTTTGTACAGAGGTCAGCATGGGCACACCTCCTCTTTGCCCCAACAAGCGCCTGACACCAGGTAAACCTGCAATTTCCAAAGGCAGTGTGTGCACTCACAGACTTTTGGCGCTCACGCTCCAAGTGATTATAGCATTTCAATGTAGACAGGCAAGGAACTTTTAGTTCAAAAACCGCTAGTTGTTTTTATTTAAAATGCAAAAAAAAAACACAGTTCTTTCATTACAAAAGACAAATAAAACTGGCCACAGATCTAGCCTCCCACGGCTCCCCACACACACACTGGACATGAGCTTCGCCACCGTGTCCAGGCCGTGCTGTCCTTCGTGCGTCTCAGACCAGCATCAGCGCCGACTGTCCTCAGGGCGGCCTGTACGCCTGGGCTGGGAGCTCCATCCTTGCTAGATCCCAAATAGTACTGACGGGGAAGCAGCTCAAGAGCGCGGCTGCAGCCCTTCCGATGGCTTTCCTCAACTCCAGCAATTCATACAGGCACTTTATCTTCTTTTGCTTTTGCACACCTCTTCAGTCTGTACTGGGAGGCGCAAGCTACCATTACAGCAGGGAAGATTAAAACTGCGTGCTGGTGCAGAAAGCTTACTTTATCCTTCGCAGATAGCACCACACTGTTTTGATGACTGTGACCATGTAGTAAGTCTTGAAATTAGAAAATGGTAGAATTCCAGTTTTTTCTCTTCCAAGACTGTCTTTACTATTCAGTGTCACTTGAGATTCCATATGAATTTTAGGAAGAATTTTCTTTTTTCTGGAAAAAAAAAAAAGCCACTGGAATTTTGATAGGGATTGAATTATATCACTTTGGGTCATACTGTAGATCTTAACAATATTAATTCCTCCAACCCATGAACACAGAGGGTCTTTCCATTTACCGTGGTATCTTTTTAAATTTCTCTCAACAGTATTTTGTAGTGTTTTTTTTTTTTTTTTTAGTGTACAAGTCTTTCACATCCTTGGTTAAGAAACCTAATTATTTCATCCTTTTTTTCAAATGCTGCTACTTTCTTTTTTTTTTTTTTCATTTATTTTTATTAGTTGGAGGCTAATTACTTTACAATATTGTAGTGGTTTTCGTCATACATTGACATGAATCAGCCATGGATCGTCCTTTTTGATACTTCAGCAAATGAAACTTTTTTTAAATTTCCTTTTCTGATTGTTCATTGTTAATGTATAAAAATGCAACTGGTTTTTCTGTGTTGGTTTTATTAGTTTTCCATTGAGTTTTCTGTATCTGAGACCACACCATCTGTGAACAGAGATTCATTTTCTTCTTTTCGATTTTGATGACTTTTCTTTCTTCCTCTTGCCTAA